TCGTGACAAATAAAGGACTGGACAATATACTGTATTTATGCTAGCTCCACAAGATTGGAAATACAACCGTGAGAAGATTGAAAACCAAAGCAGTAGAAAAATGAATCAAAACCAAAGGAGTGATGAAGAAAGTGGTGAAAGTCAATGGAGTAATGAAAAAAGTGGTGAAATTCAATGGAGTGATGAAGAAATTATATGGAGTGATGAAGAAATATTGAACCAATATTTTGCTGATCCTGATGCAGAAAAAAGGAGGTATGAAGAACTCCTTAACGCAGAAGTGCCGAGATGCATTATTTCTGATCGAGCTCAAACTCACAAGGTCTCCCGTGAGTTGGACCTTGTGAAAGTTGGACCGCAATCAGGGTACGCCCTTCCATTACTACTGCCCCACCTGCCAAGTGGAGTTCCACGATGACTGTCATAGCCTTCCAAGTAAGATGATTCACCCTCTCACTTTCACCTTTCTAAACAATGAAACCGGGATGATAGTTGACACCAATGACTTCGGTAAAGAATTCCAGAAACCTTTTGTCCCATTATCCAATTCCCCTATCATCATCTTTGATAAGTGCACTTGGTGTGGCAATGATCTCGGTGAATGGTTCTTATCCTTGTCAGATATGTAACTTCTCCTTGGATCTCCACTGCGCCAAAATTGTTACCCCTCTTACAATCCAAAATCCAAATAGCCATAACCATTCACTCTCCTTGTTCCCTCGACCACTTTCATTTCCTTGTGATGCTGGATCCAATTCAATGGTATGTGCCAATTTTCCTCCAAAACTGGATCATGCGTTACATAACCACTCTCTTTTCATGTACTCGTATCCTGCACATGATAGCAAATACGGTGGCTTAGAATGCGTAATTTGTGATCGAAAGTCAAGTGGATGGAAGTACATATGCAAACTACACGATTGTGCAGCATCTACTACTATCAGAGAATTTAAGATAGATCTTAACTGCCTTTTAGTTCCCGAGTGTTTCGCCCATGAAAGTCATCCAGAACATCTCTTATTCATCTTTGTAACCTATAGGGACTTTGGTGGAAAACTCTGCCAAGGTTGCAAGAAGGGAATTCCAAGTGAGTTGTACTACAAATTCGATGAGAATCCTCTCCATCGTCGTGGCTGACATGATGTACTACTACTGGTGCCAAGTATGTGAGGAAAGATTAGATCCAATGGAATGGTTCTACGCAAACAAGGAAAGTTGTACAACAATCCACCATAAATGTTTATTCGGAGATTCTATTTATTTGAACCCTGGTCACATGTTTGATTAATTACTATGAGAGGAGGGTGAAAGTTGTTAGCAATAGTAGTAGCTCTCGTCCCACATGTCATAATTGTCAACACATCCTGTATACCTCAAAGCGCATTTTCGGAATGGGACTGTACGAGCTGTTTCTTCTGTTGATTGCCTAGTCCATGTGTCTAATTAGTTACTTTGTGTTTTTTCTTGTTTTCAAATAGACCATGTGGGTCATACTCTGTGTCTAATTGTAATTCAGTTTTATTTGATACTCATATTGTTTCAAGGCTTGAAGCTGTGATGCTTTTGTTTTTCTTTTTGTCAACAATCTCTTTATATGTTCATTTTGTATTCAGAATCAGATCACGAATTTCTAGGATCAAATGCTCAATTTCTAGAAATTCTCTTTTCTTCTCAGTTTGACATCATCTGACCTCTGGTTCGCCAAACACGATTTATTGTTTGTATTCCATCTGGAAATTAACAAATATTGACAAGTGAATCGTTCATTACTCAGTTATCATTTCGTAGATGCGTGACCGTTCTTACTTGAGATATCTCACAAACTTTGATTATATACACTTCTCAATCAAGAGACACGATGACAAATCATTTCAATTCATAATACAACAATAAATCTGCTCTGGCTACTGTTCGACATCCTAAAGCCAAGACTCAGAGATTTTATAAGATCACAAAGATCGAGAGAGACAAACCGCTTCTCAGTCATCAAAGAATATTGGCTCCGAAGGTTGCATCGGTGGTTACTCAGTGGATGTTAGAAACAACTGGAACAGCTCTTTTGATCTGAACCGGGATGGTTTTCTTCTTTTACCCGATTTTGTTTTGTTTCTCCACAAGCATCATCGAGTAGTATAGCATTGGTGGGTATGAATTTACTTAGCTGAGTTTCACCGGATTTGCAACATATCTCCTATTCATGAGTCTTCTCAGGTTTTTCAGTGTGGTTCTCTGACTGACCAGGCTGTTTGCTTGTGTCAGCTGATTCCTCTGTGGTCTCGACAATCTCCATACTAGCTGTTCTACTCCTTCTATTCCTCCGCTCCTGCAAAAAGAAACAAGCTGCTTTCTAACATTTTGAAGATTTTGTTGATATAGATTGCTGTAGATTTGGACCATCACTAGTCAGAGTGTTAAAGTATCAATATTTCACAAAGAATTTCTTCAAATTCAGTGAACTAAAGTATATATACCTCACGAAAAGGGTTGTCATCGGATTCAAGCATCCGCACAACCTGGCTCATTTTGGGACGTTTCTCTGATTCAGGATCTACACATCTCAGGGCAACAAGAAGTGCACGTTTCAGAGCACGTGTAGCGGGTTTGGGCTCAATCCTTGGATCAACAACTTCTTCAGCTCTTCTTGTCCCAACCATCATCTTTAGCCATTCAACCAGATTCACCTGGCCAACGAGAGCATATGTTTCAGCACCCAATCAAGATTCCAAAAAAGGATATGCTCATAACTGTTTATTAGTCTACCTCATTAGCAGGACGTTCATAGTCAACTGGATCTCTTCCAGTTATAGCTTCCAGAAGAAGAACACCAAAGCTATAGATGTCGCTTTTCTCATTTAATAGACCTGTATTAGCATATTCAGGTGCTACGTACCTGAAGCACATACATACCTTTAATACGATGAAGAAAACAAACCAATCATCGCCAAAAGAGGGTACAGAGTTTAGACTTACCCGAAGGTGCCCATAACTCTAGTCGTGATGTGACTCTCACCCGAGTCTAAGAGCTTGGCTAACCCAAAATCGGAAAGTTTTGCATTAAAGTCATCATCAATCAAGATATTACTGGCTTTTATGTCTCTGTGGACTACTTTTGGTTCTATTGCTTCATGCAAATAAGCAAGCCTGTCAATGGTAGTACAGAGTATGTCAATAACCCCTTAAAAGAGTTATATTTAAAAATTCCAATTAAAAGGTCCAGCAACACGAGTCGGCATTTAAAACAACTTACGCTTGTGCAGTACCAATAAGGATTTTCATGCGAGCCTCCCACGTGAGAGTGCTATGTTTTCCCATGGCTCCATGTAACCATTGTTCTAAGTTACCACTATTCACATACTCATAAACAAGCATCCTGCATTGCATCCAAAAAAAAATTGATTCAGGGGCTAGTTTCTACTCATAGCATTAACTGTAATTGAATATTCTTTTGGATGTACAATAAAAGATTACTGATAAGAGACAAATGACACTCACCTATGAACACCCTCTATGCAATATCCTAGAAGTCTTACAAGATTCTTGTGCCGTACATGACCAATAGCTTCAACTTCAACCCGGAATTCCTTCTCAGCCTGTCCCCTAGAGACAAAATTTTGATAGGATTAGTAATCGACTTAAAAGGAAACAAACCACAGGATAAATAGACTTTGGATGATCCCAAACAATAACTTACAGATTGTTCAGAAGCTTCTTTACAGCAACATTGTTACCGTTGATGAGTCGACCCTTATAAACTACTCCATAACCACCCTCACCAATTACATTTTCTGCAGCAAAACGGTTGGTGGCTAGCTGAAGATCCCTAAGAGTAAACCAGTGTCCCCAACCAAGATGAGATATTTCTGGCAAACCAACCAAAGGAGATGCTGTTACAAGTCCGCCTTGCGAAAGGGAAGCTTGTCTCCAACCGGTTCCAAAGCTTCCTTCTTCACCAGAGTGAGAACTACAAGCTCTCTCATGGTGATGCACAGAGCTACATTGACTTAAACTATCATTATCACTAGACTTTGTTCTTCCCAAGTAAGACATCATCTTTCCCGAGTTTCTGTCACTCGATTTATCAGCAACTGTTATACATAAATTTTCATTATGATTCTGAAACCCAACCCTATCATCAACCCTGATATCCTTCGCCACGCGTGGTATTTGACTGAAGGGTAACAACTTGTGAGATGATCTTCTGGATTTTCGGCGGAACGCAATCCATAGAGATAAGATACAGAAAACCAAAACTACAAATATGCCGACTACCAAACAAATCAATACCCACAGTTTAATACCATTCAAACCTAAAAAAGAGACCCTCTTCGACATTTCAGCACTCAAAGGACTTTCAGATGACATCTTTGGTCCTGTATCCGGTCACAAATTGTCTTCCCTTTGCTCACAACTTCACAATTCCCACCTAAGAAACAAGAAAACATACCATTTAAAAACCTTTGCATACACATCAAGCGGACTAAGACTTTCACAAATCTTACAAGCAAAGGAAGAGTACATTTTTTTCTTCCTAACGTAATCTGAAAACTGGGATTCTTGGACAAATGGAAGAAACTAATATTGGCAAAGTAAAGCTGCCGACTTAGAAGTCTGCATAACAACTTGGACTCAGAAATACTGACACATAAAAAAAGCACGCGCAATTTCAGCAATTATTTGCGGCATATCAACAAACAAGTTATGTGCATTAAAGTTTCCAACATTTATCACC